AAGTTAGAACTTTCTGGCAAAAGGTTGGTCAATATAGTTTGAAAGTAAAGAGAGTTTGGTTTGATATTGAAGGTACTTGGACTTCATCTGCTTCTACTAACCAACGTTATTTAATGGAAATGATGAATGAAGCTAGAGCTATTGGTATTGTCCATGGTATTTATGGTTCTAAATATTATTGGGGAAATCTCTTTGGATCATCTTACAAATATGCTTATGCATCATCTACTCCATTATGGTATCCACATTATGATAATTCTCCATCATTCTCTGATTTCTCATCATTTGGTGGATGGACTAGCCCATCTATGAAACAATATAGAGGAGATGTTTCTATTTGCTCAGCTGGAGTTGATTATAACTACAAACCATAAGCTCCTAATTTAATCATTTTTTCCCCTTTTTTTTAGTATTTCTAAAATTTTTTATAACATTTTTTCTTTGGAATAAATATCTTTTTTTGAAAATATGTTTTTAAAATAATATTTTCTTTTATTCAAAAGTTTCAACTTTTTTGATAGAAATCTTATGATAATTTTAATACCGTACATCTCTATCCATTTTTGTATTACCCTGTAATTTTATTAATAACCAGTGTCCTTTCTTTTTTTTGTTTTGGGTCATTAAAAAAAAATAAAGCAAAGTTAATATCATGTTTTGCGTGTACCTAATCGGTTATGATTTCGTTGTGTTCATTACTCATTTTATTAACAGAGTAAAAAACAATTGGTAAAACTGTATTGTTTTAGAAAAAGAAGTAAATATTATATAATTAATTATTAATAAATAAATAAAAACTAAAGGATTGGGCTTCTTGAAAGTTTTTTTGTAAATAAGGAAAAATAGTCAGAAACTGAGGAAAAGATTGGATTTTGTTGATCTTAAAATTTAAAGCTTTTTCTGTGATGCAACCAACAACAGAATCACCAAATAAGGTTGTTAACATAATACAACACGAAAAGAAAAAATTTGTTCGACCCAAATTAATTAAATCTGAATCTGTAGCAAGTTGTAAACCTGCTGAAGGAGAGTTGTTTGTTTTAATTTTTTTTATTGAATAAAACTATTAAAGTTTTTGATTATATGTGGACATATTTGGATTAAAAAAATTATTAACTCAACAGTCTGAAAACACATCAACAATACACACCGGCTAATGTTGGTGAACGAACTATTCATACACACTTTTCTATTGAAACACGACCACTACAAAAAAATATGTTATTTGGGGATGATGGAAAGATTAATATTGGGTTATTAAGAAATCATTTCTTCAGAGAAGGAAGGTTGTCAATTGACTGTGCCTTAGAACTTGTTAGAAAAGCAAAAAAATTATTGTTGGAAGAAGAAAATATGATTACTATAGAAGCACCAGTTATTGTATGTGGAGATATTCATGGGCAATTTTATGACTTACTTACAATTTTTGATATTACTAAACCTATTGAAAATAATAAATATGTATTCCTCGGAGATTATGTTGATAGAGGGGATTTTGGATGTGAGGTTTTATTTTTCTTAATGGCTCATAAAATTAATTACCCAAAACAATTTTTCTTTTTAAGAGGAAATCATGAAAGTAAAATGATGACAGAAAGTATGACTTTTAATTTAGAATGTGAATACAAATATCATAGTATTGAATTATTAAATGAAATACATGATTTATTTGATGCTCTACCATTAGCTGCTTTAGTGGAAGGAAATTCTCTTGGAAGATTTTTCTGTACTCATGGTGGTATTAGCCCATTTCTCACTAGATTATCTCAATACAATGAAATTAAGAGAGTACAAGAACCCCCATCAAGAGGGCCAATGTGTGATATTTTATGGTCTGATCCTTTGGAAGAACCACAACATCCAGAAACAATGGAAAAAAGAAGATTGGACGCATGGCTTGCTACTGATTTTGCAGATAACCATTTGAGACAAACTTCTGTATTATATGGACCACGTGGGTTATTAAATTTTCTTGAAAAAAATGATCTCATTTGTGTTGTTCGTGCACATCAAGTAATGGAGGATGGATTTAAATTACATTACTTCTTACAAAACACTGATATACCACCATGTATTACCGTTTTTTCAGCACCAAATTATTGTGACATGTATCAGAATAAAGCATCAATATTAAAGATTAATTTAGAAAATATTTGTTTTGAGCAATTCGAGTATGTTGATCATCCATTTAATTTCCCTGATTTCTTTGATTGTTTCAGCTATTCTTTACCAACAATGATGGAAATGCTTGTTAACATATTATCTGAGCTTGTGGTTGCAGTTAAAGAAGAAGATGAGTCTATGCTCACACCAGAAGAACGAAAGTCTGATGAAGAATTAAAGAAGAAATTAGAATTGTATAAACAAAAAACAACCGATAAAATGAAAGAAAAGGCTGATGTTTTAAAGTTGAAAAAAGAAATTAAAACAACTCAAAAACGTTTGTTTTTTTAATTATTATTTAGATACCAATAAAATTTAATACTTATATTTAATAGTAAATAAAGAATGGTTCGACAAGGTATTAAGAATTGATTCTAAGAATGAAATGAGGCCAAAGCGTTTAACAAGAAAATTAACTTCAAGACCTGCAAACATGAGAACTGTTTCAGATACTAATATTCTTCATTAACTTTTTACTTTTAAAGTTTTGTTGTTATTAAAAAAACAAAAATTATAAAAAAAGTAACATCTTAACTAGTTTTAGTATTACCAGTATTACCAGTATCATCAGTGTTAGTAAAGCTAATAAAAATACCTACAAAAATAGCAAAAATACCTGCCGCAATAATTAGAGAACTAACAACTACCTTACTTTTATTCTTTTTTAAAATGGCTTGAACGTCCTCTAGAATTTGTGTTTTTTGAGACAACTCATCAAATAACTTGTTTACTTTTTCTTCAACATTTCCTTTTCCATCAAGTTGTTTATTCAATGTATATTCTATATGATGTTTTAACGTGTCTTTGTTTGTCTCAAAAATCGCTAAATCATTAGTCCATTTTGATTTTTGTTCTTCACTGACAATGTTAATACTTGTTTCTAATTTCTTGATCAGTACTTCATTTTGTTTTTTAATAGCCTCTTTCTCTCTTTCAAGACTCTCTTGCTGTTGTTTGATTCTAGTCTCTTTTGTTTTGAATTCATCTATTTTTTGGTTGAGTTGTTTTTCCTTATTATAAACTACTTCTAATTTCTTATTTAGACTTTGTTCTTGTTCCTTTGTACGTGTATCTAATTGTTCTTTTTTTTGGTTTATTTCTCTTTCTTTATCATTAATTTTTCTTTCTTTATCATTAATTTTTCTTTCTTTATCATTAATTTTTCTTTCTTTATCATTGATTTCTCTTTCTTTGTCATTAACTTGTTTTTCTTTATTATTAATTTGAATTTCTTTGTTATTAATTTGAATTTCTTTATTATCAACTTGTTTTTCTTTAGCACTAAGTTCTTTTTCTTTATCAATGATTTGTTTCTCTTTATCATTGACTTGTTTTTCTTTGTCATTAACTTGTTTCTCTTTATTATTAATTTGAATTTCTTTATCATTAATTTCTTTTTCTTTTTTATTGACTTGTTGTAATTTATTTTCATAAAGCTTTTTGAGATCATTTTCTTTTACATTGTAATCCTCGAGAAGTACTTGTTGAGTCTTTTTAATAACTTGCATTAACGTATTTTTTTCATCAAGATATTGTGTCTTTAATTCCTCTACTTTATTACTAATAGATTCTTTTTCTTCTGGTCTTTCTTTGACTAAATAACAATCACCTATTTTGTTGTACCCCCAATGGTCATTTCCATTTGTTTTTAAAAGATACTTGTTTGTTTTATGCATTTCATTGATAACAGAAAATTTCTTTCCACTAGGATGAGTGAAAAAATCACAACCCTTAATGTTGATATATAAATCATCACCTTCTCTCCAACAATATTTGTGTGGGAAAATTCTTATAGTAAATGTGTAATCTCCGACTTTCACTTGTTCTTTATCTTTAATTCCACTTGGAATAGGGATAAGTAACTCTTCCGTTACCAATCCATGTTTTAATTGAATAGTTTTTTGGGTTCCCAAAAAACTTTCTTCTAAAGAAATCCAAATAGTAAATGTGTCCATTTCTTTTTCCATTTGATCAACAACTAATAAAATCTTGGTTGTCTCATCCTTAACTTTTTCTAAATTTTGACTTAACCTTTTCACTTCTTTTTGAGAGTCATTAAGTTTGGACTGTTCTTCTTTTAATAACGCATTATTTTTATTTATTATGTCTGTCATTTGAGTTTTAAGTGATATCACTTCATCTTCTCTCTGTTTTTTTTCTTCTTTAATGTTTGTTATTTCATTTTCAAGGTTCTTGTTATTTGTTTTCTCTTCAGAAAGTTCACATGCAATTTTTTCATTAGCTTCTTTAATTTGAGATAATTCATCATTAACTTTTTTAAGTTCTCTATCTTTTTGATTAATAGTTTCTTGAAGAGTTTTTTCATTAAGTTTTAGTTCTTCTGTTAATTGTTTATTTTCTTGTTTAGTACTTTCAATTTCTATTTTGAGTTTTTCTTCTTCTTTCTTCCTCTCATCAATCTCTTTTTCTTTTTTGGATATTTCTGTTTTAACGAATTCTATTTGATTTAACAATTTGTTTTCTTTCATTTCTTTACCAGTAATTTTTTGATTTAATTTTTTTATTTCAGCTTTTTGCTCTTTTAATTCAATACCAAGTTTGTATTCTGTATTTTCTTTTTCAAGTTTTAATTGGTTAATCTCACGTCCCAACATTTCTTTTGTTTCATTTATTTCTTTTTGTTTTTGTAATTCAAAATCGTTTATTTCTTTTTTATGATTTTCTTCCTCCTCCTTTTTTTCAAGTTCCATTGCTTCAATTTTTCTTTTCAATGGTTGAATTTCGTTTCTCATCTCATTTCCTTTTCTCTTTTTTAACTCTTCAATTTCTCTTTTTAATTGCTTAACTTCAATCTGGTAAGTTTTTTCTTTTTCTTCTTTAACTAATTGCAACATTTTCTTAAAAGAAGCAGTTAACTCTGCTCTGACTATTTCTTTAGCATCTTCTTTTTTTTTCTTTTCTTCTTCTAAACTTTTAGTTAGCTCTATGTTTTTCTGTTTTAAATTTTCTATTTCTTTATTAAGTTTGTTTTCTGATTCTTTCTTAACCCTTTGATTTTTATTAAATTGGCTTTTTAACTCTGCAACTTCTTCTGTTCTGTTTTTCTTTTCAACTTTTAATTGAACTTCTAACGTTTCGTTTTTATATTTAAAGTTAGCAAGATCAGACCTTTCTTTTTTTAACTCTTCTTTTAACTCTATCACTTCATCAACTGCTAAGTCTCTTTCCTTATCAGTTTCTTGTTTTTCTTCTTGTAATTTATTCAATTGGTCTTCTATTAATTTTTTTTCAAGTTCAATCTCTTCAACTCTTTTTTTATGAGCACTGGTCTCTGCTTCTTTTTTCAAGTATTGCTCTTGGTAATACTTTTTCTCTTTATCAACGCTTTCTCTCATTAAAGGGATTGCACTTTTTAACTCCTGATTTTCTTTTTTGGTTTCATCTCTAGTTTGTCTAACCTTGTCAACTAAATCCTTGCATTGTTTTTGAACATTTTTTATTTTTTCATCATAAAACATCATTAAGTCAATTTCCAATTTTTTAACTTCTTCAGGACTACCTAACTTTTCATTTAGCTCTTTAAATTTAGGCATAAGTGGTGAGTTCTCGTATTCTTTTAAATCAATAGTATTTCTATCAATAAATACCAATCCTTTTCTTTATAGTCACAACAAAATTAAATTATACACAAACTCTCCTGACATAGTATTTATGGAATTTAAAGTTGAACACCTTTTTTACACATCATTGACATTTATCTTATCAATTATTAATAACTCTTTTATTATAAATGATGATTTAAGCATCATTTTCTTTTTTTTTTTCGTATTTTTTCTTAAATTTTTCGAAATTATGTATAACAGAAAAATTTTAATAACAGTTCAAATAATTTTCCATAGAAATTCTAATTGTTTTAATTGTAAAATTTCAATCACACTTTTCTCTTCTACATATCTTTCGCTTGTTAATGAATTAAAAGAAAAAGATTGGCGTTTTCCTTCCCATAATTTAATGTATTGATTTTCTCCAATCTTTTGATTTTCTTTAGTTATCATTTTCTCAAATTTAACTAATGACTTTTGAGTCCCTTCAACTATAATCAATCCCTTGGAGTCGGTGTATAATATAACTCCTTTCATAAAAAGTTCTTTGCTTTTGTGACGACATTTGTTGATCATCTTTTCATCAATTGATTTAAATTTGAACCCTTCCATAAAAATTCCTTGAGTCTCAATAGCCTTCTCATTCTTTTCTTTCTTTATTTTTTTCTTTTCAGCTGGGGTTTTCATTCTTTCATGGTTTTGTCTTTCATGCTCTTGTTTTCTAAGTTCCATCTCTTTTCGAGCCATTTCTTCTACTCCACTAGGGTTGATCACTATTTCTTCTGGATAAAGCTTTGCCATGTTTGATAGTTTTAACTTGACTTTTGGTGGTGCGATTACTCCCATCATAATTTTTTCTCTTTCTTCTTCAAAACGTTCTTTTCTTTGTAATTTCCTTAATCGTTTCTGTTCTTTTGGTGTTAAGATGGTCTTGATTTGAATAGCCCCAGAGTCAATTATTTCTTGTTTTGCAGGGTGTTCAATTTTATTGTCTATAACACTCACTTTTACAACGCCATCAACACCATTCAAAATTGATTCAACTTCTTTCATTTCAAGGTTGGGGTAATCTGTTATTTGGTCTGAAGTAAAATAAATTTTATCCCACCATTCTATTTGACCTGATGGTTCACTAACCCCTTCTTTTTCTATCGTTTCATTACCTTTTAAAATTCCTTTTTGGATGAGTTGGTAATGTATCCTTTCACTTTTCTTTTCTTCTTCCCTTTTCTCTATTATTTCTTGATCAAATTTTAAGCCTCTCATCTTTTTTTTTAATGGAACAACCTTAGGAGTATTTTCAAGAAACTTTTCGACTCTTTCCTTTGAAACATTGTCTGTCTTTGGTTTCTTTTCTTCCTGAGTTATTTTTACACTTTCTGCAAGCTCTTTTCTCTTTGCCAGTCTTGCTTTTAACTCAGCAATTTTACTCAACTTATCAGTCATTTGATAGATACCAATAACTAATTTTTTAGTCTAAAATAAAAATTATTAATCAATTTAAAAATGTTAAATATAACAAAAAAAAGAAGATAAAAGAGAAAAGGAAAAGAACTGAGAAAAATAGAATAAGAGAAGTTATGTTTAATACAAGTCTGTTTAATCAAACGAATACAAATCCATTCAGTCAAACGAACACAAGTATAATTAATCAAACGAACACAAGTATAATTAATCAAACGAATACAAATGGGAATAATCAAAATAAAGATAGAAATAGGAAAGAAGTGAATGGGAAGATGATAGTAGGAAGTTTTAGTAGAGAAGATTTAGAAACGATCAAGAGATTTATAGAGAAGAAAAGTATGGAAGGGTATTATCGAGAGAAGATAGAATTAAGAAGTACAGAAGAAGTAGAAAAAGAGATAGAAGAAGTGATTAAAGAAACACGAAATATCGAAGGGGAATGGATTAATAGTAAAAGAAAGATTGAAGAATTAAAAGAAGAAGGAGAAAAGACACGAGAAATGATTGAACATCAAGTAGGAAGAGAAGAATTATATAGTCAACCTATTCTTGTTGAGAAATATCGAAAAAGTAAAAAAGAAGTAGAAAAGATGATAGAAGGGATAGATAAAACATATAGTAGTTGTGCACAAAAAGAAATTAATAATGAATTAGAAAGTTTGTTAAGAAAAGAAAAAGAAAAAGAAGAAAATAACAAAATAGTGATTAAAAGTGTATTTGAACGAAATGCAAATGATATTGAATATTTAAGTGGAGAAATAGAAGAAATGAAAAGAAGAATGAAAATGATGAAAGCACGAATTGAAGGGAATTTAGATAAATGAAAAAGAAATAATTTAATTTTTATATAAAATAAGAATTTGATATTAATCATAATAAAATATGAATATAATAAATATGAATATAATAAATATGAATATAATAAATATGAATATAATAAATATGAACAATTTAATTGAAAATATTCAATGGAAATAAAATATTCACTTGTTTTAAAATCATTTAAAAATATAAATATCAAATTTTAAATAAAATCAAGAATATTTCATTAAATTAAACTTATTCTTACTTATTAATAATAATTATTATTATTATAAATCAATGAACACACATAAACAAATATATAATGAATAATATAAAGAATAAAGAAATAAAGTAAATAAGAATAATAAGAAAACAACAATAATAAGAAAACAAACAAATGAGAATGAATAATATAAAGAATAAAGAAATAAATAAAAAGAAGAATAAAGAAATTAAATATGAAAAAATAAAAATAGATAAAAGAATAAGAATAAACAAAAATATAAAGAGAATAGAAATAATAAATACACAAAATATAAAATAAAATGAAATAATAAACAAAAAAGAAATAAGAGAAATAAACAAAATAGAAAAAGAAGAATAAATATAAATAAAAATTAATAAAACAAGTAACAATAGTTCTTGTTTCATCTCTTCACTTTGTTCAAGTGAGATTACATTCTTCACTCTCTACCAAGTCATAATCATGAGTTACTTCTATATCTCTATATTCACTTCTTATGACCTCCACAATATTTCATTAAGTCATTCATGTTTTTAATTATTATATCTTTTCCTATTATTTCATATTGAATTATTATACATTGTTCTTTTACATTCTTATTGAATCTTTATTCACTAATCAATTTATTGTTATTATTACTGGAATTACTTTATTTTAGTTTATTAAATTGTTTTAAATTTTCAAGGAGAAATCCATACATTTCAAGATTGTTAATAAATACTAGAATTATCTTGTTATCATATATTATTGTTATATCATTTATTAATCATATTTGTTTATTTTATATTCTATATAAATATCTAGTATTTTATGAAATATTCCATCGCTTTTATTAATTATTTGATGAATCAATATAATGAACACTTTATTATTTTCATTCTTTTTTTTTGAATTTACTAATTTCATTTTTATTGAATATTAATTTCATTTCATTTTCATTTATTTTATTCTCTATTTCATCATCATTCATTATAATTATTTATATTTTAATTTAACACATATCAAAATATATTCTCATATTAAATCATGTTTATCAAATTATACAATGTTAATTATAATACAAATTAATAATATATGATCAATTGATGATATTTTATCAATACAAATACTATACCACTTTAATTTAACATTTAATGTAATCAATGATTTCTTAATTCATATAAATATACCAATTTCTTAGATTATTTTAAATAATTATAATTATTTCATTTTTATATTAATATTCATCATTATTTTAATTGTTAAATTCATAATATTCATTTCATTTTCAAAATAAATTATTAAATGAATATTTACAATATTTAATTTGAATTTATTAATATATATTTCATTAAATTTAATATTTAAATATTTTATTATTATAGATGATTCATTCTTATTTTGTACCAATAAAAATATAATTCATTAAATTCATTTTTATTAATTCTCTTACTACATACTTTATAAAATCTCTTCCATATTCATTTTTATTCATTTTCATTATTTCTCTTATTTCATTATCTTCCATTCATAAAATATTAATGTTCTTATTAATTTTAATTCATATCCAACTCTTAATATCATTAATTCATTTCTTAATCAAACTTTATTAATATATAATCTTTACTTAATGATTTTAATATATATTTCTTTTATATTCTTTATAATATATCAATTTTATCTACTTCAATGAATTTTAAAAATACTAGAGATTAACATAACTAAAATATTGATGAGATCAATATAAATTATAATGATGTAAATTCTATTACTTTTATTCAAATTATTAATGATATCTATTTTATCTATTATATCATTTTCTATTTTATTAATATATTTTATATCAACATTCTTCTCATATTTGAATAGATAATGATATTTTTAATTCATAAAAATATCTATAATTATTATTTCAATCATATTATCATTAAATAAGATATTCAATTTTCTAATTATTCAATATTTCTTAATATTTAATTAACTCATAATCATTTAATACATCAATAATATTTTAATTTAATATTTCAATACTTTCTTTGAATCACAATGAATTTTAAATCAAATATGTATAAATTATTGATCTACTTTGATTAAATTAATAACAATAACATTTAATTCATCTGATATGATAATTTAAATGATAATAAATAAGAATTTAGAGAAACATATTACAATATCACAGATTTTAATTTAAATACTCTAAAATATTATTGTTATATATTCCTCTTAATACATAATCTATTGAACATACAATCAAATAAATATAATATCTGATTATTAATAATAAAATATATTAATGAATATATTAACCATTGATGATCACAAAATCATATGTATTATTTATATCTAAAATATCTTATTGAAAGTTTTATTTTTATAATCAAATTCTTGTATTCATAGATAACCTTTAATAAATCATTCTTTTTCTGTTAAACAGATTTATTTACATCATATTTGACTCTTATCTAATTTGTATATCAATTATTTGTAATTGATTTGATTTTACTTTTAATAAATGAATGAATACTTTCATTATCACATCAAGACACAAATTTGTCTATTTCTATTTGATTTAGAATCACCAAAATTGTAAATTAATGATGTTTCAAACTATCATTGTATGTTAATACATTATTGGTGGTAAAATATTTTGAATTAATAAAATAAATTAATTTTTATTATTTTGCTCCTAAAAAAATAAAAATATAAATTAAATATTCATTCTATATTCATTTATATTTGTCTACATTTTATATCATTTTATGATCAATTGATATAAAAAATAAATGAAACAGAAATGATATTTGATTCAATGAAAGTATATATTTTTATTATTATTTTATTTATGTATTTTATTTTTATATTTTTATATATTTTATTATTATATTTATTTATATTTTTATTCTTATATTATATATATCATCATTTTATCTATATATTTTATATTTATCATATTTTATTAGTTTTATATTCTTATTATTTATATTTTATTTTATATATTAATACAATTCTATTTATATATAATTTCTTATATATTAATATATTTCTTTATCTTATTTTCATTTTGATTATATTTTTATATTTTATATCTATTTTCTTTTTATATTTATTATTATTTTATTTATATTATATTAATTTTATTTATATATTTTATTTATTATTCATTTAATTTTTATATCTTATATCTATATTATATGAAATTATTATTTATTATATATTACATATTACATATTATACACTAATCATATAACATTTATAATGATTA